GATTTATAAAATAAATTGTTATCAGTAGACCTGTGTTTATGATTGGGAAATCGCCCTAGCATGCATGTGGGAAGCAAAACTGCTAATTCACCCCCTCCTGTCCTTCCCTTGCCTCCCCCTCTGTCCCTCGCTCAGCCTCATTCATTTTTATCGCCCTCAGCTTTCTTCCCTGCCGCCTTTCCTCAGTCTCCCAACTCTCTTTCTCTCTTAGCAAGCTATATTATGCAGTGTTCTTCAGTCCATACTGCACATCTGAAACGGTGCTCGTGCATGCGCAATATCTCCCAAGAAGAAGAATATTTTGCAAAAATTATGCATTTAGAATACGGAGGAGGTAGTCTAGCAGAGATTTATATGATAATATTTCACAACTATACTTCTCTTGAGAAATAGGAAGAAGACCTCGCATGTAAGGTGCCCGTTGCATAGATCAGTCAGTACACAATTTGGCTACGTTAGTGTGTTAATTAGCGCATGCGCAATATCTCACCAGAGGAGTTATATTTTGTGATGAATATATGCATTTAAAATGGTTAGGGGATATCTCAGCATAGATTTATAAAATAAATTGTTATCAGTAGACCTGTGTTCATGATTGGGAAATCGCCCTAGCATGTGGGAAGCAAAACTACTAATTCACCCACTCCTGTCCTTCCCTTGCCTCCCCCTCTGTCCCTCGCTCAGCCTCATTCATTTTTACCGCCCTCAGCTTTCTTCCCTGCCGCCATTCCTCAGTCTCCCAACCCTCTTTCTCTCTTAGTAAGTTATATTATGCAGTGTTCTTCAGTCCATACTTCACGTCTGAAACGATGATCGCGCATGCGCAATATCTCCCAAGAAAAATAATATTTTCCAAAAATTATGCATTTAGAATAGGGAGGAAGTATTCTAGTATAGATTTCTATGTAAATATTTCACAACTATACCTCTCTTGAGAAATAGGAAGAAGACCACGCATGTAAGGTGCCCGCTTCGTATACCAGTCAGTACACCGTTTGGCTACGTTAGTGTGTTGGCGCATGCGCAATATCTCACCAGAGGATTTATATTTTGTGATGTATATACATTTAAAATGGTTAGGGAATATCTCAGCATAGATTTATGAAATAAACTGTCATCAGTAGACCTGTGTTCATGATTGTGAGAGCGCCCTAGCCTGTGGGAAGCAAAACTACTAATTTACCCCTCCTGTCCTTCCCTTGCCTCCCCTTCTGTCCCTCGCTCAGCCTCATTCTTTTCTACCGCCCTCAGCTTTCTTTCCTGTCGCCTCTCCGCAGTCTCCCAACCCTCTTTCTTTCTTAGCAAGTTATATTATGCAGTGTTCTTCAGTCCATACTGCACGTCTGAAACGATGATCGCGCATGCGCAATATCTCCCAAGAAAAATAATATTTTGCAAAAATTATGCATTTCGAATAGGGAGGAGGGAGTCTAGCATAAATTTATAATTATGATAATGTTTCATCA